CGGCTGGCGGGGCTCATCCCGCGCCACTCGCGGCAAGAGCGGGGCTGCGAGCTGCGCCCGGGTTTGGGAGCCGAGCCATGAACGCGCTAGCTGCGGCGACGGGGCATGGGTGGCACTAAGTGCACCTCGAAAACGGGGGTTCAGTTGCCAAAAGGCAGAACAAGCGCCCCCCGAGGAGCATCTGCCCACGGCTCTCTCCGGGGAGTCTGGAGGAGAGGAGGCTGAGGGGGTCGATGGCAGCCTTCCAGGACCTGAAGCGCATTGCAGAGAGGACGGAGATGGGCTCTCCCCGTGCGGCTGGACGGGAGGGGCTGGGGCCGTGCCGGCTTTAGCCTTCAGCTACTTAAGCTGCAGTTTAGGGCCTCACAATATGAGGGGCCTCTAAGTAAGAAAAGAAAGCTGGACATTTTCATTCTAATATGGCAAAAATATACATACATACATACATACATATATATATGACCCCACAGTTCTTATTAATATTGAGTTCATAAATGTGTGCAGAAATAACAATAATTCGTCTGAAAATTTCATGAAAATCCATTTTCGCAGATTTTGTGGATTATTTTTTATCATAGGGGCCCTCTTAAACTGGACATAGTTTAGGGCCTCAGCATGTCCGAGTCCGGCCCTGGGCTGGGAGCGGGGCCCCAAGGGCAAGGGACACGCAGGCTGGAGGCGGGACGAGCCCTGGCAATGGCTTGGGAGCCGGCTCCCTCGAGGACCCTGTGGCGTGTCCATCCTCCACGGGGCTGGGGTGGCTCCTGCCTGGAGCAGGGGACGGGGCTGGGTGACCTCGTGAGGCGCTTGCAGCCCTGCCGCCCCCTGTTCCTGAGACGTGAGGAGAGGGAGAGAAACAGCGGGGCTGTGCTGCGCCATTTCCAGCGGAGCTTTGCGGGACAGTCACGACGTTAACCAGGCGGCTGTTCTGGCCGGCCCGGGGCACTTGCTCGCCAGCATCCCGGCCCTCTGTGCCTTGCTGGGAGGTGCTTCCAGTCACACGCGGGAGCCTTAATAGCATAGCTCGGGCCCGAGGGCACCCCTGGGTGGGCGCCGGCGGGCCGTGCCCAGCAGCTCTTGCTCCCCGACGAGCTCTGCTCTGCTTCGGCCCGCGGCAGCCCCCAGCCTGTGCGCGCCCCCCCCGCCCGGAGGGCAGGGGCACAGGGCCCGCGTGTGAGGTGTATTCCTCTGTGCGTGTGTGTGCTTGTGTGTGTGCTCTTGTGCGTGCGTGCCTGTGTATTCCTTTTTGCGTGTGCGCTTGTGTGTTCCTTTCCTCTGTGTGTGTATGCGTGTGTTTGTGCGTGTGTGCTTTTGTGTGCCTGTGTATGCACGTGTATGCGTCTACTTGCGTGTGTGTACTCATGTGTGGTTGGGGGTGTGCGCGTGCTTGTGTGTGCCTGTGTGTATGTGTGTTCCTCTGTGTGTGCGCGTGAGCTTGTGTGGGGGTGTTTGTGTGTGTGCGCTTGGGAATGTGTGTGTGCCTGAGTGCGCGCCTGCTTGTGTGTGCGTGGACGTGTGCATTCGTGCGTGTGTATGCGCGTGAGCTTGTGTGTGTGTGTGTGTGTGTGCGTGCGTGCGTGCGGGCCGGCCCCTCCTTTGTGTCCTTGCCCTG